GCTGTGGAGGCAAAAACCACTGACATGAAAAGTAGTTACTGATGCTGCTTATGTATAAACAAACACCTCATGAGATTTTAAATCAGGAAGGGCAGCTTGCCCTTGGGAAGGACACTTAGTATGTTTTAAACAGATTAACTGAAGACCTCCAACAGGAGATGTCCATCCTGTATTATCTTGCTAATCATGTATTCTATAATGGAAACTTGGTTGTCACATGTAAATTTTCTATACCTTCTGTTTCCTCTAGACAAACTTTGTGTGCTGCTTATGGATATATGTTATTCTGTGGTGGATGCAACTATACTAGTTTAAATGATCCCTTTCCAACTGACAGTTTACATGGGCAATCTCTTGCTTAGATTCCTGGTGAATGCATGGGCAGTGCACTTTGAGAATTTTAAGATTACCTTTAGATATTTATCCTAATGGTGCTAGTAAATATTGAAAAGGTAATGTTAAATTGTTACACGTTATAAAACAAGAGTCATAAAGAAACCCATTGGTCCACCACTCAGGGTGTGGCTGGTAGTTTTAACTTCTATTATGGTGTAGTTAAATTGTAGAAATCTTTAAGAAATTAATCAATCATTATGGGACAAATAACAGATTAAGTTACTAATGGGATAAAAGCACAACAGCAATCTCTGACCTCATTAGCCAAGGTGACATGAGATAAGAAAATAGCCTTAGATTTTTTTTTTAGTCCAAGGAAGTGTAATTTGTACTGTAGCAAATACCTCTTGTTGTATTCAGATAAATAACACAGGAGAAGACAGGATATACATAAATTAGACAACAAGCTACTTGGGTACACGCTGTAACACCCTTACGAACACCAGTTATTTGGTTAGTTACCATCAAGAATAAATACACGAGCTAAATCACTATTGCAAGGAATAGTAATATTCTTAGTTTGCATCCTGATGGAATCAGGCATAATAAAACTTATCTTCTATTGTCTTATACACTTAAGAAGACCTCGGGCTAAAATGCTGATGTACATTGAGTGTGCTCACTTCAGCAATGTGATTGATGGGAACTGTCATGGATTAGTCCCCCCAAAAACGTGTTATCAATTTGGCTATGCCACGATTCCCAGTATTATGTGGTTGCCCTCCATTTTGTGATTGCAATTTTATGTTAAAGAGGATTAGGGTGGTATTGTAACACCCCTACTAAGGTCACATCCCTGATCCAATGTAAAGGGAGTTTCCCTGGGGTATGGCCTGCACCATCTTTTATCTTACTAGAGATAAAAGGAAACGGAAGCAAGCAGACGGTGGGGGAACCTCATACCACCAAGAAAGCAGTGCCTGGAGCAGAGTGCGTCCTTTGGACCTGAGCTTCCTGCACTGAGATGCTCCCAGACCAAGGGAAGACTGATGTACCACAAGGACCTTCTTCCAGAGCCGAAAGAGAAAGCGTTCCCTGGGAGCTGATGCCTTGCATTTGGACTTCTAGCCTACTAGATGGTGAGAAAATAAATTTCTGTTTGTTAAAGCCATCCACTTGTGGTATTTCTGTTAGAGCAGCACTAGATAACTGAGACAGGAATGTTGCTTTTATTCAAGATCCTGGTGAAGAACCAGATGGCATCTGGTGGAAAACCAGCACCGTGAGTTTAAAGAACCTGCCATGGCTGCCATCTGGGGCTCACTAAGTCCAGGTATTAATCATCAATATGTTATCACCAATCTCCTATCAATAGAAAGAGACAATACTGGAGCCATTATTGCCCGCCCTTGAGCATAAAAAATGTGACTGGACTTACAAGGACTCATAAAGACACATCAACTGGGCCCTGAGGTATACAGACAAATAGGACAATCTCGGATAACATCTTTTAGAGAAATGTTCACATGAACAGGGCATAAAAGCCATTTTTACCTTTTTCTTTTAATATTTAGTAAATAGTCGTAAATCAACAGGAGGTCAGTAGCCACAAAGAAAGGCCTAGGTCCAATATTTGCACCTCCCTTAGAATATGCCAAACAATTCTGAGCTGGGCTATAGTTCAAAATGGACACGGTCCTGAATGACCAATGTCCAAAAGGAAATGCAGGGAATAAGGCAGAGCCTCAAGCAGCTTTGCATCAGAATCCTATTTCCTTTTCTTGGCTCCCCCCGCACTCCGTGTTGCATTAAAAATCCTGTTTCCTTTGCTTGGCTTCCTCCCCTACAGCTTTGCATTAAAATCCTGCTTTCTTTGCTTGGAAGTTATATGTAAACCCCATTGTGCCTGCGTAGTATGATTAAGAATGTTGCTGACGTAACTTGTATGAACTCCCTACTTGTAAACCCCTTAAAAGTAACTTTACCCTTGCCCTCGGGGAGCAGTCTTGGCAGCAGCAGCTCCGACTGACTCCTTTCCTTGCGCAACGAAATAAAGGTGCTTTTCTGCCTTCTCACTTCACCCTCTTGTTTACTGGCCAATACAATTCATGCCAAGCAAGAACCTGGGGTTTCCACCCGGTAACAGTACATCAACAGGGAACTGCCAGAAATTTAAGCTGGATTCAGAAAAGGACGTGGAATAAGGGATATCATTGCTGATGTCAGATGCATCTTGGCTGAAAGCAGAGAATATCAGAGGGATGTTTACCTGTGTTTTATTGAATATGCAAAGGCATTCAACCATGTGGGTGACAGTATATTATAGATAACATTGCCAAGAATGGAAATTCCAGAACGCTTAATTGTGCTTATGCGGAACCTGTAATATATCAAAAGGCAGTCATTCCAACAGAACAAGGGGATAGTGCATGGTTTAAAATCAGGAAAGGTATATGTCAGGTTTGTATCCTTTCACCATACTTAGTCTGTATGCTGAGCATATAATCCAAGAAGCTGGTCTATGTGAAGAAGAACGGGGCATCAGGATTGGAGGAAGGCTCATTAACAACCTGCAATATGTAGATGATACAACCTTGCTTGCTGAATGCAAAGTGGACTTGGAGCACTTACTGATAAAGATCAAAGACTACAGGCTTCAGTATGGATTACACCTTAACATAAAGAAAACAAAAATCCTCACAACTGGACCAATAAGCAACAACATGATAAACTGAAAAGACTGAAGATGTCAAGGATTTCATTCTACTTGGATCCACAATCAACGCCCATGGAAGCAGCAGTCAGGAAATCAAACAACATATTGCATTGTGCGAATCTGCTGCAAAAGACCTCTTTAAAGTGTTAAAAACACCTCGAGGTCTAAGATATGCTTGACCCAAACCATGGGGTTTTCAATTGCCTCATATGCATACATAAGTTGGACAATGAATAAGGAAGACCAAAGAAGAATTGATGCCTTTGAATTATGGTGTTGGCGAAGAATATTGAATATACCGTGGACTGCTAAAAGAATGAACAAGTCTGTCTTGGAAGAAGTACAGCCAGAATGTTTCTTAGAAGTGAGGATGGCAAGAATTCATCTTACATACTTTGGACATGTTATCAGGAGGGACCAGTCCCTGGAGAAGGACATCATGCTTGGTAAAGTAGAGAGTCAGCGAAAGAGAGGAAGACCCCTTGACGAGATAGACTGACACAGTGGCTACAACAATGGGCTCAAACACAGCAACGACTGTGAGGATGGTGCAGGACCGGGCAGTGTTTCTTTGTTTAGAAATAGGGTCGCTATGATTCGAAAGCGACCCGATGGCACCTGACAACAATGGAAGGAAGACAAAGAGAAGCCAAGAAAGAAGATTGAGTAGGAGTGGCTAGAAGAGGTAAGAAGAAAATCAGTTCAACTGAGAAGAGTTTCAACAGGGAGTCGTCAAAGGTGTCAAAGGTACAGAGGCCTCGTCTTGTTAGATTAGGATGTCTCTGTAAAACAGTAACACACTGTCTCACCCAGTGAGTTCTAAACGTAAATGATTTTCAAAATCCCATGAGTAGCCTTTTCAAAATATACAGAATCAAAGCTGGGATGGAGGCCTGTGTACCTGTATTTTTAAAAAAAACTTCCCAGGTGATTCTGATACGTAGTTGGGTTTGAGAAGCATTAACTTAAACCACTTGCTTAATCCAAGAACAGATAAATTTAATCAAAAACAATGGACAGAAGACTAAAATAAAAATCAACATGGAATGTCAGAATACTTTTGATAGTATATGTTACAATCCCCCATTGGAAGAAGTAAAGGCAATTACCTAAGTTTCCACAGTACGCATTACAATGACACTGTAAGGACAACCTTGTGAACCAGAATCAGCATAAAGCTGGTCCCCATGAGGTGGAGGTCAAATACACCTCTGCTTTCTCACTTCTCCATCCTTTCTCTCTCTCTCTCTCCGCTGGGTTTGATAATTCACTGCAACAGTCACGCAGAACTCACAAGAACTCAAACTATACTTAACTACTCACGGTTACTTGGTTTGTTAGGGTAATAATGGAGACGTCACAGGATCCAATTTGGGATGCATTCAAGGTCAGTGTCAGGAAGGTCAGGATACAGCTCAGGGAGAGGTATATGGACAAGGTCTGGGAAGGCTCCAGAAGAAGAGAGTGCGTGTCTCCCTTTGTCATCCAAGGCAGCCTCAGACCAGCTCCCCAAAGGAAGGTTTTTCTCAGCGACGCCAGCAGCTCCCCTCTCCTCTCCATCGGAACAGCTCTGCCCTCTGTTTCCAGGCATTTTATAAGCCAGCCCATTTACTCCTTGTCAATTACAAGGCAGGCTCCTTAACTAGTCCAGGTAAAGGTCAACTACAGGGCGGGCCCCCAGCAAATCCCTTAGGTGGATTGTAAACCGACCAATACTTGCAAGCCACTTATGTGGACGGCGAACCCACCAGTCCTTTGGCAGATAGATGGTGGCCAAACCAATCATTTTGGGAGAATTGCAAATCCAGGGCCAGAAAAGCCACATAAGAGAAACCCATTGCACCACTGACACCATAAGAATAAACTAATCCCCTCAATAGAGAATTTATAATTTCCAAATACTTAAAAAAAAAAAAAAAAAAGAAAAGCTAGTGAAAAACATAAAGAGTTAGAATTAAATAATTTATTATAAGGGAACTTTTGCCATCAGTCTGTTCCATCAACATATGTAACGACATTTTAGTGTCTACATAACTGAAACAGGAAAACTTTAAAACTTACTGTGAAAAACAAGAATAAGATCAGGTAACTTGTGATTCTGTGCCCTAAAGAAATCTGGTTTACACGATGGGAGTGTTGATTAAACAATTGACCTGGACAGTCAATGAGAACTAAATCTTTCATTTCTCCAAATAAAAGGAGAAAAAGAAATATAACATACTGACTTCATAAATTCTCCAAATCTAGAAACTGTTCTGGTTGATTAATTAATCAAGATAAATTCTTTAGTTCTATTTTCTACTCCTAATAAATTTGCTGATCATCAATGTATAAAGAAAAGGTTCATTTCCATTCAGTTAGTTAATTTTCAAATGTATTAATTTGAGAACCAAGTCCTCGCTCAGTAAACGAGACTGCCCTTTAAGGAACAAGTGCATTTTTAACAGATTCTGGAACTCGGCTTGCATAGTAGTCATAATTCCTCAAAGTGGCCAGGACGCCTGCTGAGTTCATATGCTTCACTTCTTTGTTGTAACAAAGACCATTTCCATGGATATCGGTTAACTTGCCTACAGAAAAAAACATTAATACAGTGTTAATGTCTGATAGGATCATTATATTTCTAGTTATTTTTAAGTGCCTTTTGCTTCCCTGTCCAAGAGTATCCAATTAATTCTGGGAAAAATGAGGAAAAAAATGAGTGACTATAAAGATTAAAGTTTTAATTTGATGGAAATCTGCACAAAAGCAATGTTTTAACTAAATGAAGGATAAATGACTTTTATTTTCCTCTCTGATTAACGTTAATTTCATTTAGCATTTTTAATTTATATGTTTGGGAATCAATTCATTTTAAATATGAACTTAATTGGTAGAATTAACTAAATACTGGCATCAAAAGATGACATTTGTTTGGTCTCTGCTCCTGAGGTGATTACTTTTCTAGCTGGTTATACTCCATCACTACACTCCCATTTTCAAAAGTGTCTTCTTTGTTCTACCACTGAATATTAACACTTTATTTCGTAAAGTTTTTAAGTGAAGGATGTTCATAAAATGTAATTTGTATTACAGTTTCCTTTAGCATCCTAATCGAGTGGACCTAATCAAATGATGAAGAATTTAACTTCCTTATCACGCAGTATGTTAATGAGATATTGATAAAATAATGTATTGGGAGAAATGATAGACTAAAACTCAGGTGATCTGTTTATTACTATTTTTTATCTGACAAGGAATTTAAAACGTACCATTTACTAAGACTACATGTGAACTGATGTCTATTTGAAATTGAAAAATAATTTTACCATGTGTATATTTGTAAAATCTTGCAGTCAGATTTTTAAACATTGTAACGGTACGCTGTATGCACTAGTATGGAGACAGCCACTGACACTGGCTCACTGGGGACTAAGTGAGGTCGTGACAACAGTGATGAATATTTTACTTCTCAGAAGCATTAATGCTGTAAGTTAATAAGGGTTGAATGAAACTAGCTGTGTGTAGCTCAAAGTCCAAGAAAGAATCTACAACCAAACAATGAATTGGCTGAAAGTCTATCTTGTCACCTATGAAATAAGGCAGTTTGACTGGATAACTCTAAGTTTCTTTCTAGATTTTATATGCTAAGAGTCTAGGTCAAGTAACATTACTGACATATTATATCTTGCCATAATATAAAAACTGTATGGAAACTGTAACTGCCCAAAGGAAAATGGACTAACCTCCCACAGCATGTAAAATGACTTCTGGAGCACAAGTATCCCACTTCTTACATCCAGGACTTGCAAATACATAAGCAGAGGCTTTGCCTTCAATCAGGTGAATAATCTGTAAAGTATAAAAATAATACTTATTCCCGACTATGAAATGATTGGTGTAGAAATAGGAAAAACTGCTAGTTTCTATCAAGTATATTTCGTCAATCTCTCTGTCGAACGTAACTTAGTTTAAAGCCTTTAGCAGGTTTAAATGACGCTAGGATTATGAAGGAATATACAGAAGAGATGCATCATACTACAGTGATCTGAGGAAGAAAACACTGCTCAAAGAACCTACATGGAGATCTGAACAGTCTCTATTTCCCAAGTTAGGTAAAATAAAGGTTTCATTTTACGTATGTTCTTTTTCTTTCTTATTTGAAAAGGAACATATATATTTATTGTGTAAAAATTAAATAATACTTTTTAAACTTCTGAAAAAATAACCATCATTATATAAATCATAAAGAAATATCAGTCAACATAATAATTAATAAATTGTAATAAGTCCTAACAGTTGTGCAATGCTGATTAGGTTAAAAAGTACTTTCAAAAGTCTTCAGATTCTGCTGTGTCTACTACCAAGTAGGAGCTTTTAAATAGTCATCTTAAAAATTCCTGTAATACTCATGTAAAACTGCGATCACTGATGGCGCTTGTATGACCCTAAACAGTAACCTGCTATCAGGCTTTCATCACCCTGTTGACTTTTTTGGTTAGTATTGTAATATAACCATCACTGTAAAGTCAGACTTCAATACTTATCCAAACAGAACAGACTGAGAGAATGAGAAACATCTCAGTGAACACAAAGTAACCAATTATTCCCTTAAGTACTATTCATGAACACCTTCAAACATTTAAACCATGCAGTAAGCTTCTTTTTCATTTAGCAAATACTTGTCAAGTCCTATTATATGCCAAGAACTATGCCAGTATATATTTTGAAGGCAGAGAGTTGTAGCCTTCACTAGATTCTCAAAGGAGTTGTGTTTCAAGTAAAAAGTTAAGAAGCGCCCAACAAGGCCTCTGTGTGGAAGAAAAGGGGGGATTGTGCAGGGTGGAGACTTTGTTCCTAAGGACAATGGTGACCCTTGGGATAAAAGAGGTATAGGGTTTTGTGCTCGAAAAAGTAGACACCTGTCACTATTTACATTTCAGTGAATACCAGGAATACATTTTCACTCTGAAACATTTAAGATTTTCTCACAATATTGTTGTTTTTAGAACTCCCACTTCTCTCCCCATTGTTTATCAGTATATGACTTAGAATCTAAAAAGGGTTGAACATTGTTTCCAAAGGATAGGTGAGAAGAAATTAATTCCATTAAGTTCAATAAATATTTATTATTTGCTTTTCCCCTGCTAGCACACAAGCGTGAAACGGCACATGTATCAGGAACTCCATGCACTTCAGCATCACTAGATCTGAGTTGGGGGATGGCAGGAGATGAAGCTAGGGGGGCAGGCTAATGGGCCTGGACTTTAGATTTTAAGTGATGGGAGTCATCTAAGGATTTAGAGCAGGGGAATGACATATGGTTAAGTTTTGCATTTGTAAGTGCCCAGGTGACACTGCAGAGACTGACAGTGGCCAGGGAGACCACTCTGGAGGACTGTAATGGTCTGGGTGAGGGATGATGATGGCAGGTTTCAACCAGGGCACTGGCAGTCGAGATGCACTAGAGGAGACAGACCAGGGAAGCATTCAGAAGATAGAAAGGTAGCCAGACTGATAAAACGTGAGGAAGGAATCTAGGATGGCTTTCAGGTGTCCGGTTGGAGCAATTAGGAAAATGGTGGGGCCATTAACTAGACAGGAAAGAGGCAGAGGAACACATCTGGGGGGTGGGTAGAAAGTGGATGAGCTCAAACTGGACACGGTGAGTCGGAGATACCTGAGGGATGTCACCATGATGATAGCCAGGGGGCAATCAGATGAGAAGAGATCAGGGCTAGGGATGGAGATCAAACTGTGTTCCATTTCACAATTTTCTCAGGAGCATGGGAGCCTGGGTGAAGGAAAGGGGGAAGTAGCCAGAAAGGGGCAGGCAGGGCCATCCTTAGAGTCTGCAGAAGTAACCTGGGAGGGTCCACGGGAAAATAAAAGCTGGCAAGAGGCATGGGATCTTATCCTAGTTACTTGTATTAACACTGAACCTATTCTATAAAAAAAGGCTTGAACCATAAGGAAAAAAAAATTAATTGAAATGTTGTTGAAATGTGCTTTTAAGGGCAAATTATAATCTTTAACCATTTCCCTTAAGTTCTTATTTCCCATTTTAAAAAGATCAGTATGTCATCAATGATTTGAGTGCATTTCAGAGCAGACCACAGGCCTTTCTCCTACCTTATTTCCTGCTCCTCCCACTGGCAGCACCGCGTCAGGGTTCATGGCAGCAATACAGTCAGTAACCAGCTTGTTGCTATGGGATCGGGTAGTTGTGACAATGTGTTTTCCAGCAGGGGCTTCTTTCAGCTGAAACCCAAAGGCACCTAAACCTAAAATTCCCCAGATTGTCCTCCCCAACACAGCGTCTGGTCCTGCCTATGTAAACGGGCGAAACAACAAAGCTTGTAAGCATTCGGAGAAAAATGTCAACCATAAATGGAATATTTAGTTATATTAGCATCATGATAATTCTGTAAATAAAAACATGCTAATGTTTAAAGTGCAAGGACAATGTTATAAGAACTTTTCCTGAGAATCAACTGATCGGTCTCGTTGTTGTTTTGGTTTCAAGGGTACTGAATGGAACTTTTGGTTCTTCCCTGGAGTTTTCAGGAAAGGAGTCAAATGCTGAAGACCACTCCTCTCTGCATCTCCCAACAATCTCCTTGTATTTGAAAACCGCTGTTTTCAAAAGGCGCTGAAGTCCCCAGCAAATGAAACGCCACGTGTTGGTTACTACTTTTCATTATCCAAGGAAAAACAGGATCATATTACTATGGGAAAAGGTAGTGGTGATAATGTATTTTGCTGCCACAGAGACAGAGCAAATGAGTAGGCTGATACTGAGGCGTTGCTATGGACAATGGGGTCAGGGTTAAGATTTTACTGACAATTGTGGTAAAATGACAATGTTAATGCAATCTTTGCATCTGTATTTTCCTTTGAAGAGGTTAGCAAATTTTCAAACACATTATTATAGTTAAACACCTTATATAGAAATATAATCTGTATTTCATGGAAAGTAAGATACATAAAACGATTAACACAGGTTTATCAAAAATACCATTACACTAACTTCCAAACCAAAATCACACCAGTTGTTGCTGAGTTATGCTAACATAAAACCAAAAACCCATCGCCGTTGAGTCGATTCCGACTCATAGCAACTCTATAGGACGGAGTAGAATGGCCCCATACGGTTTCCAAGGAGTAGCTGTTGGATTCGAACTGCTTTTGGTTAGCAGCTGAGCTCCCAACCACTGCTATGTCTACCATAGTAGACATATATATTACCACGTACCAGGCACCATGCTAACTGCTTTACATGTATTATCTCATTTAATCTCAAAACAACCAATGAAATAGTTATTATCAGTCTTATTTTATAGATGACAGAAGTGAGATTTGGAAATAGTAAGTAACCTGATCAAGGACACTGGGAAGATCATAACCAAACTCAGGCTCATCTGCGTTCAAGGCTGATATTCTGCATCACTAAACTATCCTGCCTCAATTTACCTGTCATAAAACCTTCGACCACATAATCTTACTTGTCCTATAGCAGCACCCTGGGTGCTATTATGGTGAAATATGCTTATGTTGCAGGTTGGGATTCCCAGGAAGCTGACTCTGAGACAGGAGGATGATTATTAAGGAGTGCGCTTCGGATCAACACCTGCAGAAGGGAGGGGAAGAAAGAAGGAATGGGTAGATGTGATGCAGGCCCAACACCAGCTTCAGCCAACCATATGGGAACTTTGGAGCTAGAATGGCCCTTAAGGCTTCTCCCAAGTTGGGCTGAAGTGCCAGGTCCTTATGCCCTGGCAACAATCAGTCATCGGATACGGACTGTTGGCAAGGGCGTGACCCTTGGCGAGACAGCTCTTTACAGGTGAGATGATCCCTGAACAGGCTGACAGCTGAAGGCTGCCTGCAGACAGCACTCCTTGCCAACAGGGCAACAAAGCAGACAAGCACGTGGCAGCGGCGGCCCTCACCAGGTGCTCAATGTTAGTTTGCTTCCTCTGCTCCCTCTTGACTCGGCACTACAGGAGAGGCTTGGAATCTGAAAAGTACAGGTGGGCTCTACGGTGGCTCAAGGTACCCATTTGGCTTTAGCTTAACTGATACCGAGACTAATTCCATGCTCCCAAGAAACCTATTTATTAATCCTTCTCCCCAGTTATTCCAATAAAGAGAGGGAAGCACACAAAAGAGTGGATACAAGTATTCTGGTCCCTGACCACTCACGTTCCCTCTGAAAATGACTCTGCAGGCAAGCCGGATAGGAGCAGGGGATCTGGTGATGTGGTGAGGAAAAGGCAATCCCATGATGCAGACAGCTGGTCCCCCTCTGTGCTCTTGATTGCTCAGTGTCTCTCACTGTCCCTCTTCAGAGGCTCCACGCCAACTCTCTGGCGGTAATGAAGGCTGACATTCTCATCTTACTGATGAGTTCATTAAGATTCATAATGGTTAAGAGGCTAGCACTGATATAAAAATAGACAAGGTCTCTTTACGTTATGCTACCATGTTTTCTTTAAGCACCTACCAGATTCACTATTTATTAGGAGCAACAGTAAAGTTTGAATTGTTAGAAGTCTTTTATTGGGCTCCAGAGAGGCAATATTGAGTAAAGGGTAAGAGCTTGGGCCTAGGTTTGAGTCCCAGCTCTGCCATTTACCAGCTGGATGACCTTGGGCAAGTTTCTTGTCTCAGTTTCCTAATCTTTAAAATGGGGATAATGATTTCCTTATAGGGTTGTTGTGAGCAATAAATGAGATAGTGCCTGCGAATCACTTGAGCCTGGCAGCACACAGTAAGTTCTTGATAAATGTTAGCTATTATTATGATGATGATGATTTAAAACTCAACCTTGAACACCACCAACAGAGCTATGCAACGTTTCTATTTATTGCAATAAATTTGAAGGCATAAGGAAGAGAGAGGAAAAAGAGCATACAGAAAGGAATGGTGGCAAAGGGAGGGTATGAAGGGGAGATGCAGAAGAAGAGAAAAGGAACTGGCATATGGGATGGGCAGTGCCTGCCGTGGCCACCACACATGCCTACCTCGCTTCTACCTGCTAGCGGAGCCAAAAACCTAGCTAGGTTTCTCACCTTGGCTTCAGCCCTCTGCTCCCTTAACTTCTGCTTTTCATTGTTCTGTGGAAAATGAATACAATTTTTCTAATCTCAGAAAGAAGGGATGAAAAATTAATAACTCTTAAGCTCTTAGATCTTTTCTGATGAAAGGTGTCATGCATTACAGTATTATTTATGAATTAAATGCCCTTTTAAAGAACAGTATTAACTTACTTTAAAGTTTATACAATAACCACCAACTTGTGTCTGGATACAATACTGTATAAACCTTAAGGTCATATTAAAAGAATTAATGGACACTTAAGAAATTTAATATGAGAGACATTCCCAGTATATAATGTTTTTGGTAAATAATCCTAAGACACACATAATTATAAATAAAAATGTATAATTATACAAGTGGCAGGATAAACCAAATTTATCTTAGAAATAGAGATTAATCCTGCTCTTAAATCAGAAATACAGACATAATAGTCTCCACTCTGGTTACTTGGTTTCCCCAAAATTCTCTCAAGGTCGTGCTAATGGAAATACCTTAAGTATTTATCTCAACAATTTTCTTGAACATTCATTTAATGGGATTTAATGGTATATTCCTGCTTTGGAATTATCCTAGTCTCTTTCTTCCAAGAGCCAATTTCTTTTCAGTTTAATAGAAAGTCAAAGCAGTTAAGAAGAGACAAAATAAGAGAAAAGAGTGCGATAGCATATTTAGTCCTGTTGTGAACGCCGACTACAATTTAGGCACTACGTGGTATTACCTGGAAAACACCACAGCTAGCATGTTTTCTCAGTCAAAATGATGAATTTCTTCAATATGTTTTAAGAACCACCTGTAAATCAGGTGTCTTGATGTCCAAGCTAATCAACAACCATCTCAATAGTTCCCAAACGTTTGATTTGAATCATAAGGGGTACCTTAAAATGTATGAAAATACATACAGTATATGTGTGTACTGACACATACACACCCATATACATTCCTGGTACCAACTCGCCCAGAGGTTCTCATTCACTAGGTCTGAGGTGTGACCTGGGAATCTGTGGTTCAAAAGGCTCCCAGATTACATGTGCAATCAGGCTAGAAACCACTAGATTAGATATCAGGAGTCATAAAGCTCTGTAATTACTAATGAAGTATTTTTGTATCACTTATAGTATTACCTGATAGTTGTAATATGGCTGATTAATAACTCCTGCTATGGCCTTTCCTTCATAAGCAATTCCAATAAGAACTGTTACATTGTCAAGAAGACCTATAAGGAAGAAATGAATATCTACTTAATTAACTTTCTCATGCTATGACTCATCATCAGTACACCAACTGCTGCAAATTATTTTTACAGTAAAGTTAAGGAATGTGCGATGATTCATTAATGGGCAATCATTCTTATGGCAAAATGCACACATTACAATAGTGCTGGCCCGAGATAGAAATAAAGTCTATGGTCACTTAATTGAATTGATAACCATGGTCTCATTAGTACAATTTGGGAACCAATTAAATAATTCAGCCCAGTCATAACTCTTTAGTCATTATGATGAGATTACTAGGTGCCCCTCTGTCACCTTCTAACTCGCTCCTACCTGCTGGATCACCCTCTAGACTTGCATTTCAAGGCTTTAAAGCAAGGTCTCTCAAAGCAAGGTCCATGGACTACCAAGCAGCACTAGAATCAACTGATGTAACTCTCACCAATACAGATCTCGAGCTCCTTCCCGAAGCCAGTGAACCAAAGTCTGTAAGTGGGGTCAAGACCTTCATTTCAAACAAGATGTCTATGTGCTCTTACGTACACTAAAGCTGTCTACAAACCAAACCAAACCCACTGCCGTAGAGTCCATTCTGACTCATAGCAACCCTATAGGACAGAGCAGAACTGCCCCATAGGGTTTCCATGGAGCAGCTGGCGGATTCATACTGCCAACCTTTTGGTTAGCAGCCCATCTCTTAACTACTGCTCCAGGGTTCCAGAGCTGTCTACAGCTACCCTATTTCTTGAAGAATTATAAAGACTTTTTTAGTACACACACACAAAATGTATAGTAGATGATTCAATTAAGGTGATATGTTATATCCAGGCACAGAGAAAGAAAGTTTTTTTCTAGTAATTATCAGACATTTTCTTTTCTTAATCTGAGAAATAATATAAGAAAATCTGTGTGGCCCGCATTTCGAGCATAACTCTAAGCTCGTGTTATGCTTCTAAAACTCTGGCTCTGAGCTTGGTTCCCTTTACTAGTATGTTGCCAACTTCATTTCAGTTTGCTGCTTTCTTGTTTTTCTTATCTTAGATAATGTCAGAAAAAGGAAACATTATGCTGCGTCCACAAAGCCCATCTTTAAAGGCGAGGCTGTGAAGTGAGAGGCGGCTCACAGGTGAGGACAGAAGTGGTCTTGCGAGTAAGTGGATGGGCGTGGGATGCTGGTGGTGGCACAGCAAGCACGGTACAGCCGTGGTTTCCATCGCTTTCTACCCCATTAAGCTGGGAGTTCAATACAGTCCTTTGGTTTAATAGGTCAGTGATGCACATTTGAGGGACATTTGTGTAGGGGGGTGTAACTGAAGGAGATGAATTTCCTCCCTCTGTCTTGACAATCACTGATATATACCAGTAGTTAGCTAGGATGAGCACAAACAGAGCTTTAGGAAAGAGACATAAAATATGATACGGGCTTTCCATACAATACGTGAAATATCAAATGTTCACACATAAATAGCACATCCTACTGCTGTCAAACACGAATACGAGGGAGACACACCTTCAGTGTATTCCTTGGTGCCATCCAGAGGATCGACCCAGACCACAAGCTAAAAAACAGAGGAAATAACCAAATGAAGACAACAAAATTTTAAAAACAGATTTAAGTAGATTAAGTAAAATTACCCTTTTTTTCTTTCATTTTTGAAATTGTGCTATGGATGGATGGATGAAGTCAATGTCATCAATTTTGTGATAGCAAAAAAAAAACCTTATTGTTTTACAATCATTGTAAAAGTCTACTTAAATGACGGAAAGGTCTGACTTATGAATTTTAAATATGAAATGCTTGACTGATGAAAGTTCATTGTCACCTGGGCTGTAAGCACAATGCTATGAACACACTGAACTCTGGGTGGGGTGCGGGGAACACTGCCAGGGTGGCTCCAAAATGTTTTGAACAATGAGTGGATACCACTTATTTTTATATCTAAGCGTAGATTCTTTTTGTTTGTTTGAATAACTACAGTCTGATTACCTTAAGGATATAGCTCATATGTGCCAGAGAAAATGAACAGTTCATAAAATTGGCAGTAGATTAAAAAAGAAATCCCTACTGCTTAGGACTTCTAACATGATTGTGGACATGTGGCCATTAACCACGCTAATCATGCTTGATGTGAAGAAGGTGTCTTTCTACTGGAAGATGCCATATCTCATTTTTTTTATATTCTCCATACCATATAACAAAGTGCCTTACTCGGAGTAGGTGTTCAAGGAATGTGTGTTAAATGAATTAAAATCAGAGAAGTATTTAACCTAAGCAACTGTAAAAAAATAATTGGTGATTTTTATAACCTCAAAAATATAAAGCAGCAACCTGTTTCATTTCCTTCTATCTCCAATTACCAATCAAATGCATTATTGCCAAATCTACTAAATAACAAATTAGATTGTCTTCCTAAAAGCATTTTTAATAATAGTTTCAGAGTGGAGAGGAAACCAAAGGGATGAGAAACTGAACTCTAAACTAATAGACCAGATATTCCATAGGGTTGTCCCATACTTCTATGTTGGCACTGAAAGATTTCAAGTTTCTGGCTTGACCTTTTTTTTTAAGTAATATTTTATTGGGTTTTCGTTGAGAGCTGACACAGCAAATTAGATTCCCATTTGACAATTTCTTCACAAATTGTTATATGACATTGATCACATTTTTCACCTTGTGTCAATATTCTTATTAATTCCATCTGGTTGTCACATGAGTTTTCTTTTTTTTCCTTTTAAATTTTATTTTGTTGTTGAGAATATGCACAACAAAACATACACCCATTCAACACTGTCTACATGTACTAGAGACACTGATTACATTCTTCGAGTTGTGCAACCATTCTGAGCCTCCTTTTCTGAGTTGTTCCTCTCTCATTAACATAAACTCACTGCCCCCTAAGGTTCCTATCTAACCTTTCAAGTTGCTGTTGTCTATTTGATCCCATGTAGATAGTTCTTAAAAGAGCATGCTGCTCAAGGCAGAACTTTTTTACTGGTCAAGCTAAACTATTGTTTAGTTTTAAGATGACTTCAGGGGATATTTTTAGTTTAAGGTTTAAAGATTATCTCAGGGCAACAGTCTCAGGGGTTCATCCAACCTTCATGGCTCCAGAAAGTCTAGAGTCCATGAGAATTTTAAATTCTGTTCCGCATTTTCCCCCTTTTGATCAGTATTCTTCTACAGAATCTTTGATCAAAATGTTCAGTAACAGTAGCCGGGCACCACCCAGTTCTTCTGGTCTCATGGCAAAGAAGGTAGCTGTTCATGGAGGCAATTAGCCACACATTCCATATCCTCCTCCTATTCCTGACTCTCCTTCTTCCTCTGTTGCTCCAGATGAATAGATGGCTTGTCCCTATTTTATAACTACTCATTTTCCATCATTACAGGCAAATGTTTATCTCCTGTACAATGGTATAAAACAAAGTTAAAAGAGAGTTAAGTATAAATATGGACCATACATCTTCCTCTTTAATAGCACTGTACTGTGATGGGCATGGCTGCTTCAGTATCTCCTCCCACTGACCATCTTCAATCAGCTCTTGGTCCACGTCTTCAGAAGGCAGATCCTAAAGCAGAGATAATACTGAAGATGATAATGAAGCTAAACAGAGTGTAGAGTTCGTCTCAGTAACAGAAGAAATGCAGCATCAGTTTTCACTTGGCCTTTTCCATTTACCATTTATTTTTAGAGTTTTTAAAGCAAACCTAATAAAACTGCAAAAAGAACCATATATGGTTTATCAAAGTTGATTACAGACTGTCCCAATTTCGTTACCCTGAATAGGATCTAGGAGGAAAATATTTTTTAAGTATTATAAACTTATTAAACAAGTACCTGTGACTTAAGATAATTCTACCCTCTCAAACATATGAAATGTCAATTCCTTCAGTTTCAAAGTGTTAGACAGTCTTTGGATAAGTGTGCAAGTATGCCTCACTTAAAAAAACAAACAAACACCAAAACTCATTTTACTCCAAATTCTAAAATGCTGCCCATCTTACAGTTTTAATGCTGAATATTGTAACAATAACCACATCTTCTATGGCCAAGAATTGAGACATATGGCCTAGAAATGGACTAAAATACTTTAATCAGGTATTGCCTGTAAATCCAAGGAATACAATAGTTAATTTTCTATGTTAAAACACTAGATGTAATGCTTGAACTCATAACAGTGATTTATGAGTCATTAAAGTGTCAGTTACAAATCCATAAGGTAAACAAGAATTTAAACATATTAGGGCCCTGACACTCTTACCTCTTCCCCTATGATTGTTAGTTTGGGGAATTTCCGTGCCAGTGAAGAGCAGATGCTCATTTGTGCCAATCGGTCAGCTTTGGTCTGCAGGTCTGTTGCACATGTCTGCAAGAAAGAATGCAAATTTTAGCAGAACTAATGTAAAATAAGGATCCCTGGTGGTGCAAGGGTTAAGCGCTCAGCTGCGAACCAAAAGGTTAGTGGTTCAAACCCACCAGCTGCTCCTCAAGAGAAAAAAAGACCTGGAGATCTGCTCCCGTAAAGACTACAGCCTATGAAATCCTATGTGGCAGTTCTACTCTGTCCCACAGGGTTGTTACGAGTCAGAATTGACTCCAAGGCATACAATGACAATGCAACAATGTAAAATAGGCTGTTCTCAACCTGCTTCTTAATGTCTGATTGTCTTTACATTTAAATCACACTACTGGTTTTTAGATTGATGGAACTTAACACCAAGTGAGTCAACTAGTTTCTTGGCTTTGTTTTTTTCTCACAGGATTAATAATTAATAGTGCCATAGTTTCAAAAGGAGCTTTTAAATTATTTAGAACATCTTCTCTCCAAGTTCAGAAATTTCTTTTACAAGATCTCTAAATATTAACCTTTTGCTAAAACAGGTTAAGTGATAGGGAATTCGTAACTTTTCAAGGTAGCCAAAATTAAATACTGTACCTTTAGTTATCCAAAGGGTACTTCTATATGGATTCTTCTGTAACTTCCATAATGTCTACTCATTAATCCTAATCCTAATAATGCAAGAGGTTCTCAGGACAATTCGTCAGTGTATAGAAAGAAATTCTATTTTTTAAATCTAAAAAATATGAAAATGAACTGCAGTAATACTTAATATACAGCACACCTATGGTCCTCTGAGAAACCCTTCGTGGCGTAGTGGTTAAGTGCTAGGGCTGCTAACCAAAAGGTCAACAGTTTGAATCCACCAGTTGCTCCTTGGAAACTCTATGGGGCAGTTCTACTCTGTCCTATAAGGTCGCTATGAGTCAGAATCAACTCGACAGCAACGGGTCTGGGTTTTGGGTTTTGTTTTTAATGGTGCTCTCACTCAATCCATATGTCAGACAGTCATACTAGATCTTTTTGTCCTTAGGATAAATATTTCTTCTCTTTCTACCAATATGGTGTCAGACCTCATCATTCTGGATACCTTGAGTGACGAATCTGATTCAGCCGCTATCCCTTTTAAAATAAGGTGTGAACAGGTGGATATAAAGTACTAGAAGTGCCTGACCAGTACAGAGAACAGTGAGGATATTACTTTTTTTTCCTACCTGGACATTTATTTCTTTTATTCCTTAGCTATAAGATATAAAAGTATATATCTAATATAATCACAACATAAAATCAACCCAACAAAATAAGTGATGCCAAGAAAAAAGATCTGGTAGGAATGGTCCAAAATATTGGCAGTGACGGCATGATGGATGATTTTTGTTTCTTGCGATTTTTCTCCATTTCCTATTTTTTATAATAGAAAAACTACAGAAAAGAGAATTCAGTAAGATTAGTAGCCTTCTGAAAGGAGCCGTATTACACTGCTGGTTTATTGTTGAGCACGCAGGAAGTCTTGCATCATTTTCAAAGCGGAAACGGAGCCCATTTGAACTCAGGGTCTCGCATGTCTGTGAGGGAGCCAGCAGGAGCTCCGTAACAGCCATGTTTACCTGTTAGGCTGCCTATTACATCCTTTAGCTAAACTTAAGGAACACAGATAAAGTTGGTATGAAATGAGACTCAGTACCTTCTCCACAATGCCTAGGTCTCCTTCAGCAAGAACACGTCTGACTATCATTCCTGCCTTTTGAGCAATAGAATATGCTGAAGCTACCAACCGCATCAACACAGCATGACTGGAAGCCATGATAAGCCCTAAAAGGAAGATGAGAGAAGCGTTCTGTTACTTTCAAAGCCAACTACTGGTTATATTTACTTGAATTCAATTCAACACATATTTATTGAGTGCTTTCTTGTTGCGACTTCTCCAATTAACTGAGTAGGTTCCTTAATAAATATTTACCGAAGACGGCTTGGGAAAAACTCCAATTTTCATCATTGGCTCTCTCAAGAAAATCCTATAGAATGTGTTCTCTTTGCAGCTGGGACATTTTGAGGCATGGCAAAACCTGTCCAGGCTGCTACGCATATGAAAAAAAAATTTTGTGCGTGATGGATGTGATGTGCAAAGGCCGTGTAAGGTGCTTCAGGGACTAAAAATACAAGATGTAGCATCGTCCCTGGAGGAGCTAATATTTCTGTGGATTGGGACTAAAATAATGTTACCTAATGTTTATAACAAAACTGTTAAGTGCCAAGAGAGATATGAAGAGCCTAAGGGATGTGCGGGGGCGGGGGGAGGCGGTAGAAGAGAAGAAGAAGAGAGCGTGGATTATATCCAGTTATAACTATTTTCTTAACATCAAATGAACAGTCCTTTAGAGACTGAATAAAATTTAATCAGCTGGTTATTTCCCCCCATCCTCTTCCATAGCCAAGTGTCATGGATGGAATTATGTCCCCCCAAAAAATGTGTGTATCCATTTGGCTAGGCCATGATTCCTGGTACTGTGTGATTTTCCAGTATGTTGGAAACCTGCCTCTATGATGTTAATGAGGGAGGATGGGTGGCAGTTGTGTTAGTAAGGCAGGACCTGATCTACAAGACTGAATTGTGTCCTGAGGCAATCTCTTGAGATATAAAAGACAGAAGTGAGCAGTGAGACAGGGGGACCTCATACCATCAAGAAAGCAGTGCCAGGAGCAGAGCACGTCCTTTGGACAGGGGTCCCTGGGCCGAGAAGCTCCTAGTCCGGGGGAACACTGATGAGAAGGCTGACAGAGAGAGAAAGATTCCCCTGGAGCTGACACCCTGAATTTGGGCTTTTAGCCTACTTTGATTGTGACAAAATAAACTTCTCTTCATTAAAACCATCCACTTGTGGTATTTCTGTTATAGCAGCAGTAGATGACTAAGACACCAAATAAAGAGAAAAAGTAACACAGTAACTGGAGTGAAGACCAATCACCTGGAAGAGCAATGAGTGTCAGAGAAGTCACTGGCCCCAATGAAGTGAATGAAACAAATAGTCTTTAGGACCAGTATATGTCTCTTTGAAACCAAGTTCAAATCCTGCAATTTCAGTGACTGCTCTGGATGCTAGGATGTACCACCCAGATTCCCCTTCAGGACTGGGGACTTGTTCCCCCAGCTGCTGGGAGTGCTACCAACTGACAGACCTTAGCTGTCGGCTTTTTTGTGAACCTATCTGCTGAAAAGAATCACCTCCCCTGAAAATGGTCAACAGGGGGTGTTTAAAGGCCACTCCTCATCCAACTGGGCTGCAGCCCCAACTCTGAAGGGCCATCCCGGCCTCCAGTGCTCAGTGTGGTCAGTGAAGAACTTAGTTAAGACTACATCCCAACCCAATTGCTCTCTCCACCCATTCCTGCTTCCTTCCCTTCCCTCCCACAAGAAGTGATCTCACGAACACTCCCTGATAAACCTCTTGCTATGACAAAAAACTCTCCCACCTCTAAATCTAATCAACATTATTTCAATGCAATAAAGGAACACAATACCCTTAGAAAGGGGTTATAAACCTCGATTCAGCAATAGTCATCACTGCACCATCAGTTTCTGACTGAATATTCAATCTGATGTGCCTCCTAGCGTCCTTTTTCTATCATCCACATTCTATTCAGAGGGATTATGAACATAATTGAGATATAAACAGGTAAAGTGTTTGAAACCCTTCAGAAAGAAGGCAGAATTGAAACTGATGTAAGGTAATGGATACCATACTGGAATTAAGATGAAAAATAAAATGGGGTTTCTATTTATTTGAATTGTTTCTCTTATTACACTTATAATCAGGCTAGATTCATTTTCTTGGCAAACCAGGTGTTACATGTGGAATAAACTGGTTATGATTATTACTAACTCAGCAACATCTCAAACAGAAATCAGGAGAAATAATTTAGTAAATGCTTTGATGGCCTTATATCCATATCTCCAGCCATATATCTGATTTATTCTACACTGGAAAAGTCATCTTCAGGCAACTAATCTGTACTATGCAGACGTCTTAACCACTGAGGATATTTTAATGTGTGTTTCTATGTTCATTCAGTCTCCATATTATATAAGACTCCATTTGTGAAAGGCAGATCATGTTCCTTCACTGTATGGTGTTGTTACAACTTTTCACAGATACCATTTACCTTTGGGCCTGTTACACAATTACCTGAGCCTTGTCAACTTCAAATATTACTAAACCACTTCCCCTTATGTTTGCCAAGTCCACGGTTATTTTCTTCCAAGGAAAAAACTTTGTTTTTTTTCTTTCTCCTATCTTTGTCACAAAATGTATACTACACTCATGAACCACCATTTAAAAGCTAACACCAGTTTTACAAGAAATAAGAATGGAAGAAAATGAAGTTTGATATAAAGCACAACAGTGACTTATAAAGAGATTCTACAAATCACTTTTAGTTGGCAAAAAAAAAAAAAATGTTTCTACTATTTTCTCTGAAGTACTTCTCTGCTCCAAACTGAATTATTAATGAAATAAATGCATTTTTAGTTCTCGGTAGAAAGAAAAAGTGGCTAATCATGTTATCAAAACACAGAATCTATAGAAGAGGTTCCTTTTTAATTGTGCCCCTCGCTAGACCCCAAATGAGAATTACCTTTTGTTGAAGTGGATACAGAGCAAGGTCCAAACTGGCTGCAAGCAAGGTGATAACTTCCTTATAGCAGTTCAAATTATACCCATTGTCTGCCCTTCTCTACCAGTTTTACACCTTCTGGATCCTAAAACACTACCTTTTGTTTTCATGTCTTCCTGAAAGCCTACTCAGAAACAGCACAGTCATTATGAGCATGGGCACTAGAGCCAACTGCCTATGTTCAAATCCTGGCTCTGGCACATATTAGCTGTGAGATCTTGGGGAAGCCACTTATAAACCCTTTTGCCTCAACTTGTAAAAGGGAGCTAACAATAGTACCTACAGCACAGGACTGTTCTGATTATGAAATGAGCTAACACTTATAAAGCACTTCTAACACACAAAGTAAGCACTAAATAATACTGGTTAACTATTATTATGATTGTGCCTATTACTCGCTGTCCTGCATGGTCACTAGGGCAGTGTTAAGGGCAAAAAAAATCCCTATAGCTTCTGCAACAGTATTTTGACCCCAGTGAGTGATATGATAACTAATATGACTCTTAATCCCAATACAGATTATTTTTCATAACATTCTGGCCTTGAGACTTACAGTAGATATAAAAAAAGGTTGTAGAACAGTTACAATAATCAGCTTAACATCTCAACCATTTCAGAAATCTTTACAACTGCCAATTAGGGCCAGTTCAGAAGGACAAAGAATAACAGGACCCAAATTACAGTTTCTTTTCATAGACTGGGAGAGGTACTCTGAATTTAATAAAAAGACAGTGAGCATATAAGGATGAGTGTATAATGGTGAGTTCTCAATCAAAATATTAAGATCATTTATCTTTGGAAACTGACCTAATGATACTAAAGTTCAAGATCATCTGGAAAAATAAAATGTGAGTATGACATATGCACACCTGTGTTCATGGCAGCATTGTTCACAATAGCAAAAAGACGGAAACAACCTAGATGCCCGTCAACAGATGAATGGATAAACAAACTATGGTACGTACACACAATAGAGTACTATGCAACGATAAAGAACAACGATGAATCTGTGAAGCATCTCATAACATGGATGAAACTGGAGGACATTATGCTGAGTGAAGTAAGTCAATCACAAAAGGACAAATATTGTATGAGACCTCTTGTAAAAACCCATGAAAAAGTTTACACACAAAAAGTAACAATCTTTGTTGGTTACCAGGGATGGGAGGGGTGGGGGGAAATACTACATAGGCAATAGGTAAGTGGTATCTTTGGTGAAGGGTGAAACAGTACACAATACAGGGGAAACTAGCACAACTCATACAAGGAAAGGTCATGGAAACTCCATAGACACATACAAACTCCCTGAGGGACTGAATTGCTGGGCGGAGGGCTGTGGGGACCATGGTCTCAGGGAACATCTAGCTCAATTGGCATAACACAGTTTGTAAAAGACAATGTTCTACATTCTACCTTGGTGAGTAGCGTCTGGGGTCTTAAAAGCCTGTGAGCAGCCATCTAAGATACTCCACTGGTCTCATCCCTTTGGGAGCAAGGGAGAATGAAGAGAACAGGATACAAGGAAAAGGACTAATGGACCACAGTTACCAAGGCCTCCACCAGACTGAGTCCAGTACAGCTAGATGGTGCCTGGCTACCACCACTGCCTGCTCTGACCGGGATCACAACAGAGGGTTCTGGACAGAGCCGGAGAAGGATGTAGAACAAAATTCTAACACACACAAAAAAGACCAGATTTACTGGCCTAAAAGAGACTGGAGAAACCCCAAGAGTATGGCCCCCAGACACCCTTTTAGCTCAGTGGTGAAGTCTCTTCTGAGGTTCACCGTTCAGCCGGGGATTGGACAGCCCCATAAAACGAAACAGGACTAATGAGGCACAGCTGTCCAGGGACAAGGACTAGAAGGCAGAAGGGGACAGGAAAGCTGGTGATAGGGAACCCAAGGTTGAGTAAGGACAGTGTTAACGTGTAGTGGGGTTGTTAACCATTGTCATAGGGCAACATGTGTACTAAATGTTTAATGTTCTGTAAACCTTCATCTAAAGTGAGAACAGCAGCAGAACCGGAAGAGTGCAGTCAATGTCACTGAACTGTGCATGTAGAAATTTTTGAAGTGTTATATCTTTGGTTATGTATATTTTCACCAAAAAAAAAAAAAATTTCGAGAAGGGAGAGGGTTGACATGTCATGGGGTTGTTAACCAATATCATAAAATATGTGTACTACTGTTTAATGAGAAACTATTTGTTCTGTAAACCTTCACATGAAGTACAATGAAAAAAGTAAGCATGACAGAGAAAATTCTGAAAAACAGGAATGAACAGATATTCCTCTTACCAGTTATCAAAATATGGTATAAAACTATAGCAATTAAATGGTTTAGCCCTGGGGCAGAAATAGAGACAAATGAATGGAATCAAATACATTCCAGAAACAGATCCAAACAACCTATGTTGTTGTTGCTGTGCTGCCTCAAGTTGATTCTGACTCAAAGTGATCCTACAGGACAGAGCAGAACTGCCCCATAGGGTTTCCCAGGCTGTAATCTTTATGGGAGCAGAATGCCACGTCTTTTCTCCCAAGGAGCGGCTGGTGGGTTCAACCTTTTGGTTGGCAGTCGAGTGCTTAACTGTTGCACCACCAGGACTCTATTTAAATCATGGGGAAAAGTCAATTATACATAAATGGTGCTGGGACAATTGCTAACCATTAAAAAAAATGCTGGATTCCCTTTGCATTCTTGATATCCATATATATTCTAGATCAGTCCGTGATTATAAAAAATTTCTGCATAGCCAAAATACCATAAACAAAGTAAAAAGACAACTGACAAAGTGAGAAAAAGATTTTTTATCACGTGAGACAAATGAGCTACTTTCTGTTCTGTGACGAGCTCTTAAATATCAATATGTAAAAGATGAATAATTCAATGCAAAAATGGGCAAAGGATATGAACAGGCAACTCCTAGAAAAAGAAAAGCAATGGCCAATAAGTTTATGAAATGCTCAATTTCACTAATAATGAAAGAAATGCAAATTAAAAAAACAAGAAATGACTGTTCATTTGTAAGACTAGCACAGATATAAAAAGAGGTTTCCCATTGCTTCCTAGATTGTGAAAGAAAATGTTCCTACACACAGTTAGTAAGGATGTAAAATGGTGAAACATCTTAGGAGGGTAATTTGAAAACTTTATTAAAAGTAAAATGTACATATCTTTTGAACCATCAATTATATTTCCAGAAAATCCTAAATAAATCCAGAGGCCTACAAATGTGTATGTATGAGAATGCTTCCCACAAGAATAGCAGAAAACTCAAAACAAGCTTAATGTCCATCAATATTTAATCAGGGATTGATTAAATAATTGAAGGTACATTCACAAATGGAGTACTATGCAGCTATTAAAAAGATACAGATTTATATATGCTGATATAGAAAGCTCTCCAAGGTAAATTAAGTAAAAAAAAAAAAAAAAAAATATTTATATATGCTGATATAGAAAGCTCTCCAAGGTAAATTAAGTAAAAAAAAAACAAAACAAAAAAACCCTTGGTATTTCCATTTGTGGGGTGCAAAGGGATATACTTACAGATACTTGCAAGTGGATAGACAATATCTGAAAGACTATACAAGCAAGTATTAATAATGACGACTTCTGTGTAGTGGGATCAAGGAAGAAGGAAAATACATGATTTTTAACTTATAATCATATTTCCTTTTGCATTGTTTGAATAGTTTACCACATGAATCTATTAATTTTATCATTAAAATAAATAGTTTAAAATAGAGAATGTGAATAACAGACCAACCAATGATGAGGCATCTGATCCTGGCCTGATGGGAACGATAATCTCTCTTCCTTACAGTGCTGTTTCTGAATGCTTGGTAAGAGACTAAGAACACAGCTGAGAACTTTCAAATTTGAACAAAAATCTTATCATCCTGGCTTAATTACCTAATAAAATGACAAGATTTAATATAACTGAATATTTGCATCAGGATGTTGTCTTTCAAATTGTGCTCCAGGGGTTCCCTAACGTTTTTCCTTAAAAGTTTGGAAACAGTGAACGCTTCTTGTTCTACTATCCTGGGGCATATAGTCACCTATAAAAGAAGGCAGTTAGAGTACCTAGTACCCAAATGGCAAAGACTTGAAGAGATGGTAATCAGAGTTTGGAAATCACGAATTCTTTTCGTTTCAATATTAGTTTAATTCCATCAATTTGCCAAAGGCACTTGACCTTGACCCTGGTAAATATGATCTCACTCATTACAACACATAGTTCCTATTTCTTGTAACGATTTTATCACTGATGCTACGAACTGGTAAGAGCACACCTGAAAATCAGTCATTCTGTTTGTGCCACACACATTGATTTAAAAAAAAAAGTAGAGAAAACATTTACTACTTCAATGAAACACAATTTCAGGCGTAAGACAGTCTCTAAATCTGGGTATACTACGGCCCTAACAACAACAAATCAACAAGCCTACGTTTGCCCTGTTATTCCTACAATAAATTAACCATAAAAAGACCCCGGAGCACGAAAATAAGAGCAGAGATACACAATTAAAATGCTGACATTTAGCATCCGGAGTGGCCCGAAACTGGAGCATCTGGAAAGGTAAACTGATTCACTTAAACTCTTAAAAAATATATAAATTCCTTGAATCTCCTATCTGTGAAAGGGGTGGGATTAGGAGACCAATGAACTACTCAGATCTGTCCCAGGCCCTTGCCCTGACAGGCAGGGGGGAAAACTACTTACAGTGACATACCTGGATCAAAGAGAAACGAAAGACACTTCAGGAATAACAGAAAACACGTTATCCAGCAGCACGTCCCTCGTTGCGTCCAGTACTGCGCTCCCCAGCTTTCAGTAGGTCATTTTGGGACGGAGGGCCCGCCTACCTCAGCTACTGAGCATGCGCACAATTCGGCGCAAGCGCAGAACAGCTACCTCGTCCCCGCCCCTTCGGACTCCCGACCGTGGGAAACGCTCCTGGTTCGTGTGTTTTCCAGGCTTTTTATAGGCTTATGTAGCATTTTGTAAAAGTGAAAAGTGTCTATTTTTAAAGATTCACTCTGGTTGTACGTGTCTTCCAGCCCACTTTGTACAGCTCACTCCTTTAAATGTTCATGGGATTGGTGATACCAAGAGGTGGCGTTGCTAAACTCGAACCTCTAGGTGTCCGTGGATGGTCTTCAGGAGGTCCAAGATGCCTCTACTCCGCTACCCCGCCTTAAAAAGAAAACAACTTAATGCAGAATTATGTTAATGGTGCTTCCCTTTTTATTTATTTACTTTTTAAGCTTTCATCTGATTGTTAGAAGTATATGTGACCTAGTAAAGGAGTCATTGGATGGTGCGCTGTTAACGTGTTTATTAGAAATAGAAAGGTTGGAGGTTCGAGTCCGCCCAAAGGCCCCTTGGAAGAAAGGACTGCTGATCTACTTCTGAACATTCAGCCACTGAAAACCGTATGAAGCACAGTTCTATTTTGACATACATGGGGTCGCCGTGAGTCGGATTGCTTCCACTGGCAACTGTGTTTTAACCCCAGGAAAGTTAAGAACAACACTGCTCCAGTGCTATGTATTTGCCCACTGTCAGTCATCGGAGTCCTCGGAGAATGCCTGTCTTCCTGGCGTGGTGTCAATGGCTTTTGGCTTTTTAAGGCCCTGAGGAAAGCCTACTTGGAATTTTTCTGGCATTGCTAAAGGTTCAGGGAAAAAAGTCGTTTATTCATTTAGGAATTCAACACGTTTAAGGACCATTCTTTTTGTGCCTAGTCGTGTTCGCGTGTGTGCCTGGACGGCAGACAGTCGATGAGAAAGGCATAACGAAAAGGCAACAATTTTATTTCAATATTAAAGCGCAGGGCACCGTGATTAGAAGATAAGCCCGCGCCCCCGAAGGCTGCGGCCAGCACGCGCGGCAGCTCCGCCCCCGCCGTCGCCGGAAGGCCGAGCTCCCGCCCCTTCCGCCCTCCGCGCGCATGCGCACTCCCGCACGGCTCGCGGAGGCCCTCGGGGATCCCAATTGCTCTGAGCCGCGGCGGGAGGAGAGGCCTCGGCGCTCGCGAGGGGATCTGTGGCGCCGTGTGATGCGTTGGCAGCTGCGCCCTCTCGGGCCGGGGGCGGCCGCCCTGGCCGCGGCCCGAAATCTGTGGGGCCCGTCCTGCCTTCCCCGTCGCCTGGGGTGGCAAAGAACGACGGGGAGGCTTCTGGTGCGCTCAGTCACCGGGGCCAGTAATCAGCTGCCGACCCCGAATAGCGGCAAATACCGGGACACGGTGTTGCTGCCGCAGACCAGCTTCCCCATGAAGCTGCTGGGCCGCCAGCAGCCCGACATGGAGCTGGAGATCCAGCAGGTTCGGGCCCCACTTGGCGCGTCGGGGGCGGTGGTAGGGAGCGGGGCCTTGGCGGGGCGCAGAGGAGGAACGGGTTCTTGCCGGGAGCCTCGCCCGTGCGACCCAAATCCGGGAGGGTGGGCGGCGCGGTGGGACGGGCACAGTCTCCAGGCCCCTGGAGTCGGTGTTTTGACCAGACCTGTAGAACTCATGAGCTTCCCACAGGTTCGTTTTGCTAAAAACACAAGTGAAGAAATTTCCGGTTAGGTCGTCAGTAGTAGCAGGTTCTAGAGCGGAATATTAAGGGAGAAATTAGCAATGCTCAGTATCAGCTTGTACTGAATGTATGTCCCATTTCTGGCTTAGGCAAAATATGTCGAATTTAGACACTTTTCCAGTAGCTTGTAAAAAGTGAATTAACATGTACTCTTATGAATAAAAATGCGATTACAAGGAATGATGGAAAGTTGAAGTCCGCCTTTGTTGGGTCAGTAAGTCCCTAGCTGGAATTGCGACTGTTTGAAGGCTAGTAATGTACTAACGCTGATCCCCTTTCCTAGACTGTGCTTCTGTCTCTCGAATTAGACTGAACTTTCCAAGGTCAGAGCTTCATTTGTTAGTTTATGCAATTTTAGAGTCTTTAAAAATAGCTGATATTTGGTTGCATAAATATGCTTAGCTTATGTATTCTTGTAACAGTTACTAGAGTTCAAGACTCATAAACTTGTTCTGGCCATCCAGTTTCTTAAACACTGTTTTATCCAGTACCTTGTGTATGCCAGGAACTGTGATAATTTTAAATGTTTTCTTATTTAATTTTCATACGAGTCCTGTGAGTTGGATATTATTCACTTTTTTTTTTTTTAAAAGAGAACACAGGCCCATAAGGGCAAAATGACTTGGCCAAGGAGACACAGTGGATGAGGGGAGGGGAGTGGAACTTTGATGACTGTTGTTCCAGATTTAAGGAGTAGTTGAGGCCAAACGATAGCAAGAATGAGATATGAGCGTATGGGGGATCTATAGCTCCTTCAGCATGGCTGGACAGAGTGGAGGATAATGGAGTACTTTGAGACTGCTCAAGAGTTGAGCGGTAAAACTGGCAATATGCAGATGATGCAACGTTGCTTACAAAACATGAAAATGACTTGAAGCACTCACTGATGAAGGTCAGAGACGACAGCCTTCAGTATGTATTACACTTGAACGTGAGAAAAATGAACATCTTCACCACTGGACGGATAAACAGCATCATGATAAATGGCTGAGATACTGAAGCTGTCAAAGATTTCATCCTGTTTGGATCAACAATCAATGTCCTTGGAAGCAGCAGTCAAAAAATTGAATGACGTATTGCTGCAAAAAGCAAAGATGGCATTTTGATGACTCAAGGTGCATCTGATCCAAACCATGGTCTTTTCAGTTACCTCGCATACAAACGCTGGACAGTGAAAAAGGAAGACAGAAGAAGAATTGATGCAGTCAAATTGTAGTGTTGACAAAGAATATTGACTATACCGTGGACTGCCAGAAGAACAAATAAATCAGTCTTAGAAAAAATATAACCAGAATACTCCTTAGAAGAGGGTGGTGAGACTTTGGCTCACTTACTTTGGGCATGTCACCAGCCAAGACCAATCACTAGAAAAGGACATCATCTTTGGTAATGTAGAGGGTCAGTGAAAATGAGGGAAACCCTCAATGAGATGAATTGGCATAATAGCCACCATAGACTCAAGTATAGCAAGATGATGAAAACGTCATAAGACTGGGCAGTGTGTGGTTGTGTTATACAAATGGTCACCATAGGTCGGAGTCAACTTGATAACAGCTAACAACAACAACAACAAACCTTGTTCAATTGGTATAACAAAGCTTATTAAAATGTTATGCATCCTACTTTGGTGAGCGGTGTCTGGGGTCTTAAAAGCTTGCAAGCGGCCATCTAAGATGCATCAGCTGGTCCCAACCACCCGGAGTAAAGGAGAATGAAGAACACCGAAGACACAGGGAAAGTATTAGCGCAAGAGACAGAAAGGGCCACATAAACCAGAGGCTCCATCAGCCTGAGACCAGAAGAACTAGATGGTGCCCAGCTACCACCAATGTGTGCCCTGACAGGGAACACAACAGAGAGTCCCTGATGGAGCAGGAGAAAGGTGGGGTGCAGAACTCAAATTCTGGTAAGAAGACCAGACTTAATGGTCTGACTGAGACTGGAGGAACCCCGGAAAGCATGGTCCCTGGATTCTCTGTCAGCCCAGAACTAAAACAATTTCTGAGGCCAAGTCTTCAGACAGGGATTGGACTGGACTGTGGGACAAAAAGTGATGCTCGTGAGGAGTGTGCCTCTTAGCTCAAGTAGATACAAGAGACTAAATGGGCAGCTTTTATCCGGAGGTGAGATGGGAAGGCAGAGAGGGTTAGGAGCTGGGTGAATGGACATGGGGAATCGAGTGGAGAGGAAGAGTGTGCTGTCACATATGGGGAGAGCAATTAGAGTTACCTAACAATTATGTATAAATTTATGTATGGGAAAAAAAATAAAAAACCTTGTAAGGTCCTGCATACCACATAAAAAGTGTGGACTTTATTTTGAAGATAGTGGTGGAAACTATTGAAAGGTTTTAAGAGAAGAGTGCTCAGATGTGCATTTTAGAAATACCACCACTTGTATTTTAGAGTTGAATACATTGGAATGGAATAAAAAATAAGCAAGTGCTGGCTGTTATTTATGGTGACGTTTAGGAGTACATATTTAAATGATATTCAGACTTTTTTGTTGTTCTTTTTAAACAGAAGTGTGGATTTTCAGAACTTTATTCATGGCAAAGAGAGAGAAAAGTAAAGACAGAATTTTGTCTTCATGATGGACCTCCTTATGCAAATGGTGATGCTCATGTTGGGCATGCTTTAAATAAGGTAATTATAATTTTTAGTCTGGTTATAAGGCTTGAGTGTATCCTAATCATATGAAGCTATGTAACTTTGTGTTGGCACATAAAACTAAACTCTTACTAGAAACAGAAAACAAACAGTTTTAAGGGTTGGTTGAGAAATAACATCACTGATACTTGCTTTGAGATTGTTACCATTTTACGTTAGTAAATATCATTTCATTCAGTAATGATTATTGAGCTGTGTCAGACATTGTTCTTGGTTCTGGGGATAGCAGTGAACAAAATAAAGCAAAATCTTACTTTCATGGAGCTTATGCCGTATTGGCGGAAGACTTGTCAACAAGATAAACGAGTAAAATATATACGGTGTCGGATAGTGATAAGTAAACTCTTTGCCATCAAGTTGATTTCAACTCAGTGACCCTATAGGACAGGGTAGAACTGCCTCATAGGGTTTCCAAGGCTGTAAATCTTCATGGAAGCAGACTGCCACATCTTTCTCTGACAGAGTGGCTGGTGGGTTTGAACTGCCAGCCTTTCGGTTCGCAACTGAGCACTTTAACCACTGCGCCTTAACCACAGGGCTCGTTCTTGGTGAGTGCTGTGGAGGAAAATAAAGCA